AAGGAGTCGCCCCGAGGAGAGAGGGAGGGAGGGGGGGAGGGAGGGACCTGGTCGACGCCATCAACCCGGGACGGTGCATTACGAGAACGTGAGGGCGGGCGGACAGGAGGAGGTAAGAGTCCGAGGAGAGGGAGGGGGGAGGGACCTGGTCGACGCCATCAACCCCGGACGGTGCATTACGAGAACGTGAGGCGGGCGGACAGGAGAGGTAAGGAGTCCGAGGAGAGGGAGGAAGGGGAGGGAGGGACCTGGTCGACGCCATCAACCCGGGGACGGTGAACTACGAGAACGTGAGGGCGGGCGGACAGGAGGAGGTAAGGAGTCCGAGGAGAGGGAGGGAGGGAGGGAGAGGGAGGGAGGGACCTGGTCGACGCCCACAACGAGAACGTGAGGGCGGGCGGATAGGAGGAGGTAAGGAGTCCGAGGAGAGGGAGGGGAGGGAGGGACCTGGTCGACGCCATCAACCCGGAAACGGTGCATTAACGAGAACGTGAGGGCGGGCGGACAGGAGGAAGGTAAGGAGTCCGAGGAGAAGGGAGGGGGAGGGACTGGTCGACGCCATCAACCCGGGACGGTGCATTACGAGAACGTGAGGGCGGGCGGACAGGAGGAGGTAAGGAGTCCGAGGAGAGGGAAGGAGGGAGGGAGGGACCTGGTCGACGCCATCAACCCCGGGACGGTGCATTACGAGACAGTGAGGGCGGGCGGACAGAGGAGGTAAGAAGTCGAGGAGAGGGAGGGAGGGACCTGGTCGACGCCATCAACCCCGCAGAGAGAGGGAGGGAGTGGTTGAAGTCAGGGGCCTCTCTGTCTGTGTGGGTTATATTTTTTGTCTCTCTTCATATTTCTCTCTTTCGTTTCTTTCTCCCTCTCTCTGCCTACTCTCCCCTCCCTCCTCTCTCTCTCTGCCTATCTCTCCCCTCCTCCCTCCTCTCTCTGTCTATCTTTCCTCCCTCCTCCCCTCTCTCTGCTATCTCTCTCCCCCTCTCTCCTGCTTATCTCTCCCTCCCTCTCCCTTCTCTGTCTATCTTTCCCTCCTCCCCCTCCTCTGCCTATCTCTCCCTCCTCCCTTCTCTCTCTGCCTATCTCTCCCTCCCCCTCCCTCTCTGCCTATCTCTCCCTCCCTCCTCCGCCCCCTCTTGCCTATTCTCCCTCCCTCCTCTCCCTCCTCCCCCTCCTCCCTCCTCCCTCCCTCCCTCCTCTCTGGCCTCCCTCTCCCTCCCTTCCCTCCTTTCTCCTCCCTCCCTTTCTCTCCGCTTCCTCTCTTATCTTATCTCTCCCTCCCTCCCTGCTCCCTCTTCCTCCTCTCTCTCTCTGCCTATTCTCTTCTCTCTCTCTCTCTCTCTCTCTCTCCTCCCTACCTCCTCCCCCCTCCCTCCCTCCCTCCTCCCCTCCCTCCCTCCCTCCCTCCCTCCCTCCCTCCCTCTCTCTGCCTATCTCCTCCCTCCTCACTCCTACCTCTCTCCCATCCTCGCGTCTTTTTGCCATTAACGCCGTTCGTTCTCCTCCCCTCCTCCTCCCTCCCTCCTCTCCCTCCTCCGTCTCTCTGTGTCTGTCCTTAATGCCCGTCCGTTCCTCCTCCCTCCCTCCTTCCTCTCTATCTCTGCCTATCTCCCTCCCTCCTCCTCCTCTCTCGCTCTGCCTATCTCTTCCCCTCCCTCCTCCCTCCCTCTCTCTCCTCCTATCTCTCCCTCTCCTCCCCCCTCTCTGCTATCTATCCTCCTCCCTCCCTCCATCCATCTTCCATCCCTCCCTCCCTTTCTCCTCCCTCCTCTCTCTCTCTGCTATCTCTCCTCCCTCCCTCCCTCTCTCTCTGCCTATCTTCTCCCCTCCCTCCCTCTCTCTCTCTCCTGTCTCTACTCCCCCTCCCTCCTCTCTCTCTCTGCGTCTCTCCCTCCTCCCCCCCTCTCTGCTATCTCTCGCCTCCGTCTCCCTCCCTCCTTGCTCTCCTCCCTCCTCCCTCTCTCTCTCTCTCTCTGCCTATCTCTCCTCCCTCCCTCCCCCTCCCTCCTCTCTCTCTGCCTATCTCTCTTCTCTCCTCCCTCTCCCTCCCTCCCTCTCTCTCTCTGCTATCTCTCCCTCCTCCCTCCCTCCCCTCTCCCTGCCCTCCTCCCCCTCCCTCTCTTCTGCCTATCTTTCCCTCCTCCCTCTCTCTCTGCCTATCTCTCCTCCCTCCTCCCTTCCCTTTCTCTCTCTGCCTATATCTCCCTCTCCTCCTCTCTCTCTCTCTGCTATCTCTCCCTCCTCCCTCCCTCCCTCCCTCTCTCTGCTTATCTCTCCCTCCTCCTCCTCCTCTCCTCCGCGTCTCTTTGTGTCTGTCATTTATGCCCGTCCGTTCCTTCTTCCCTCCCTCCCTCCCTTTCTCTGCCTATCTCTCCCCCTCCTCTCCTCTGCCCCTCCCTCCTCCCTCTCTCTGCCTATCTCTCCCTCCTCCCTCCCTCCCTCTCCTCTCCGCGTCTCTCTGTCTGTCATTAATTCCGTTCCTTCCCTCCTCCCTCTCTCTCTCTGCCTCTCCCTCCTCCTCCTCCTCTCTCTCTCTGCCTATATCTCCCTCCCTCCCTCCCTCTCTCTCTCTGCCTATCTCTCCTCTCTCTCTCCCTCCTCCCTCCTCCTCCCTCCTCCGCGTCTCTCCGTGTCTGTCCTTAATGCCCGTCCGTCCTCCCTCCTCCCTCCCTCTTTCTGCCTATCTCTCTATGCCCCTCCTCTCCCTCCCTCTCTATCTCTCTCCTCCCTCCCTCTCTCCCCTATCTTTGCTAGCCCGTCCGTTCCTTCCCTCCCTCCCTCCTTCCCTCCCTCTCCCTCCTCCGCGTCTCTTTATGTCTGTCTTAAACGCCCGTCCGTTCCTTCTTCCCTCCTCCCTCTCTCGCTCCTCCGCGTCTCTTTATGTCTGTCTTTAACGCCGTCCGTTCCTTCTTCCTCCCTCCTCTCTCTCTCCCTCCTCCGCGTCTCTTTATGTCTGTCTTTAACACCGTCCGTTCCTTCTTCCCTCCCTCCCTCCTCCCTCCCTCTCCCTCCTCCGCGTCTCTTTATGTCTGTCTTTAACACCCGTCCGTTCTTCTTCCTCCCTCCCTCCCTCCCTCCTCCGCGTCTCTTTATGTCTGTTTTTAACACCCGTCCGTTCCTTCTTCCCTCCCTCCCTCCCTCCCTCTCCCTCCTCCGCGTCTCTTTATGTCTGTCTTTAACACCCGTCCGTTCTTCTTCCCTCCCTCCCTCCTCTCCTCTCCTCGTCTCTTTATGTCTGTCTTTAACACCCGTCCGTTCCTTCTTCCTCCCTCCCTCCCTCCCTCCCTCTCCCTCCTCCGCGTCTCTTTATGTCTGTCTTTAACACCCGTCCGTTCCTTCTTCCCTCCCTCCCTCCCTCTCCCTCCTCCGCGTCTCTTTATGTCTGTCTTTAACGCCCGTCCGTTCCTTCTTCCCTCCTCCCTCCCTCTCCCTCCTCCGCGTCTCTTTATGTCTGTCTTTAACGTCCGTCCGTTCCTTCTGCAGGATAAGTACGCCATCTCCATGGCCAGGAAGATCGGCGCGCGCATCTACGTCCTGCCGGAGGACATCACGTAAGTCAAGCCAAAGATGATCATGACCGTGTTCGCCTGCCTCATGGCGCGAGACTACATCCCCAACATGGACGCCAAGAAGAACTAGAAAGGGAGGAGAGAGGAGGAGGAAACGGAGGAGGGAGAGAAGAGGAGAAATTGGAGGAGGAATAGAAGGAAGATGAGGAGGGAGGAAGGAGAGAAAAGGAGAAATTGGAGGAGGTGGAGAAGGAAGACGAGGAGGGAGGAGGGGTATGAGATAAGAGAGGAGGAAGAGGAAGCAGAGGGGGGAGACGAGAAAGGCCAGGAGGAAGGATGCCAAAAAAGAACTAAAGAGGGAGGAGGAAGAGGCAAGGACGGAGAGGAAGAGGAGGAGGGGATGAGAGAGAGAGAGGGGGGGAGGAGGCAGGTAGGCAGGGATGGAGAGAGAGAGAGAGAGAGAGGAGGGAGATAGACACATAGAGAGAGAGAGAGAGAGAGAGAGAGAGAGAGAGGAGGGAGATAGACACATAGAGAGAGAGAGAGAGAGAGAGGAGGGAGATAGACACATAGAGAGAGAGAGAGAGAGAGAAGGGAGATAGACACATAGAGAGAGAGAGAGAGAGAGAGAGAGAGAGAGAGAGAGAGAGAGAGAGAGAGAGAGAGAGAGAGAGAAAGAGAAAGAGAAAAAGTCCGATCCTTTCCCTCCCCACATTTTTTAATGATAAATAGCGACGCATAAGCATTACATACACAGTGTGTGTGTGCATGAGTTGGTGTTTAAGGCACATATACGTGCATATGTGCACATGTATGGGCCTGGATGCACATGTATATATGTGCGTATATGGTTAATATAATTCAGTCTCTTTTATAATGATATTTTTTTTTACAAGTGATTAGTACATAAAGGAATGAAATGCGAGAGAAGGGAGTGATGATAATAATGCAAAGTTACAAGCGAAAGAGAGAGGGAGAAACACGGCAAGAATTCAGTCTTCTTTATTTATTCTTTTCTTCCGTGTCTTGTTATTATTATTGTTATTTTTTCAACAGTTACCCCTGCTTTCATTTCTTCCTGTTTTCTTTTCTCTCTCTGGCTCTCTTTTCTTTCTTTCTTTTCTCTCTCTTCTCTCTTCTCTCTCTCTCTCTCTTTCTTCTCTCTCTCTCTCTCTCTCTATGTGTGTCTATCTCCCTCTCTCTCTCTCTCTCTTCTCTCTCTCTCTCTCTCTCTCTCTCTCTCTCTCTCTCTCTCTCTCTCTCTCTCTCTCTCTCTCTCTCTCTCTCTCTCTCTCTCTCTCTCTCTCTCTCTCTCTCTCTCTCTCTTCTCTCTCTCTCCCTCTCTCTCTCTCTCTCTTCTCTCTCTCTCTCTCTCTCTCTCTCTCTCTCTCTCTCTCTCTCTCCTCCTCTCCTCTCTCTCTCTCTCTCTCTCTCCTCTCTCTCTCTCTCTCTCTCTCTCTCTCTCTCTCTCTCTCTCTCTCTTTCTCT